TTAGTCTCAAAGTGGGTTCCTCGTCATCGAAGTTGTTTATCTGTACTACTGACTTTAATAACAAGTTGTTCATCTGAACGGCTGAATTCAATAACAAGTTATTTATCTGTACAGCTGACTTCAATAACAAGTTATTTATCTGTACATCTGACTTCAATAACAAGGTAATCATTCAGAGTTGTATTCTTCTAATGTTTCATAGAAAATATGAAAAGTATTCCATTTATTTGGATCAAATATCACTTTGTATCGTCGATATCGAATGTCAGCGGTGTATAAATAAAGCGGACTACAGAACATTATACTGAAGAATACATTGTCCGTGTCAATATCACATAATGATGCATGCTAAATCACTTTTATTTTTTCCTCTTTCTTTCTCTCTTTCCTTCAGCAATATGAAAATAAAATGCCTGTCAGCGTATGGGACATTGCAAACTTTAACAAAGATTGTCCCCTTAACACAATGCTTGTAGTATCTTCATTTGGTGACGGGCTTGATATGCTGTTTGAGAATGACGGATATCATATTGAACACCTTCAGTTATAATTCCGGAAATATCAAGTATCATTTCTAATCTTTCTTGATGAATATGTGTAATTCTAAACGTGCCATTGTTGAAACACTGATTCTCTAGAACAAGTAGTTTGGAAGTAGAGGCACTTTAAATATAGAATTTTCTCTATAATCAACCTGATTGTTCCCGACTACAGCTGTCAATACTACTTGTCAAATAATAATACCTGTAATAACTACATAAAGTTGTGTTTAGAACCTGCGTTGTTTTACAATAGATTTCAGTTCGTTCTTGATCTGTTATCGGTTTTTATATTGCTCTTCGATGTCTTTCCTTGATAACACTCAAGTAATCGACCATGACCTATCAACATCACCGGGAAGAAATCTTTTCGACTTTTGTCCTGCTCATTAATTCTTCATGTGATATCCGATAAAATCGTACTTATGTGCTGACAAAATTAATGCCTTAAAGCCATTGATTTTAGATAAAAGTGTCGAAGCTAGTGATTCTGATCTAAGAGACACGCGATTGAAGCATCCCTCGTTCTTCAGATCGAAATGATTGCATGGTCAGTCCTAACAGCATTTTCGGCGAATTATGTCTGGACATCCTGACGTTTTTATGTCTGTCACATGTGCGAAAGCGACTCGAAATGTATTGTTCAAAGCAATCTTTTTAAAGTAATTTATATAAATTCACTACTTCCGTGTAGTGATTCTTGAAGTTCAGATTAGAACAATAACACACGTTATATAAATGACTGATTACCATAGTAAATTAGTTAGTTCAAGGTCATTCAATTTATCAATTTTGAACTCTCTACGAAGAAATTATTACTAAAGTTGTTCCAAGCGTAACATTCTCTTGGACAAAGTGACTACTTTATTTCACGCATTAACATGCCTGATTAGGATTTTGCAAAAGAATCGTCGCAGTTAACATGCAGATCTAAGAAATATGGGTGGCAAAATTGCATTCTGAAAAAAAGTAACACGAAATGTCGACAGCAAAACGGTATTTTGAAGTAAAAACTTGCCCGATTTCAATAACTTGTAATTAAACGTGTTTATAAAACTGAACTCCTGATTCATCACGTCACATTTTGTTCAATATAACTCAGTGATGACTTTCGAGACAAACAGAAAATATACTCAGTTTTACGTGGTTGAAATGATTTAAAACGAGTAATGTTTTATTTGTTATCAGATGTTTGAGTTAAAGTAGAATGTTGGCTTTTACTTTCTGGCCAAACGTTTCTGATTAGATTTCGTATTAAATGAAATAGGATTAGAAAGTGTGATACCTCTAAGTATAGCAACGTGTGAGAAAGAACCAGATGATACTTGTTCTGAGTTGAGCTATGCGAACTGAACTCTGAAAGTGATAGGATGAAGGGGAAACGGATACTTGTTATTTTCTTTAATCGCTAATGTGGCAAGGTTTCAGAAATAAATGTATTTTTACAACTAAACAGAAACAGGTAACTGTCTCAGTTTCTCCCCGTAATAGGGAAGAATGACGAAATACAGGTTATTTTGAAAGCCATTTTAAAGCACATTTTACACTTTTGACAATCAAACTTTGTAAAAGTGTGCACGTTGGATGTATTTATTCACATTCATATCACTAAAAAAAGAATACTTGCACCAATGTTGTTTTAATGTTTAGGGTGGAAAACTTCACTTGGCTCTACAACAAAAGTGGATAAAGCGTGAATGAAATTTTACGGGCCTATTTTAAAATGCATAATGTTCAAGATAAAGCAAAACCTTTGCCATTTGTAATTATACGAAAAACGCATTCAGCAAGCATATTTTATGCATAATGAATAAACTATATAACAAGAAATGAGTATATTAGTTTTATGTCATATTTTTCCTTTTTTATATATTTTGATTACAAAATTATCGTTTTATTTGATAATTACTGAGGAAACCATTACGGCAAAAAGTATATTTAACTACCAGGAATAGCTAAGGATACACCCAAATGAAAAATAATAATAATCTAACTACCAGAAGGCCCGGCATGGCCAGGTGGTTAGAGCGCTCGACTCGCTATCTGACGGTCGCAGTTTCAAATACCCGTCCCACGAAACATGCTCGCCCTTTCAGCCGTGGGGGCGTTATAACGTGACGGTCAATCCTACTATTCGTTAGTAAAAGAGTAGCCCAAGAGTTGGCGGTGGGTGCTGATGACTAACTGCCTTCCCTTTAGTCTTACACTATTAATTAGGGACGCCTAGCGTAGATAACCCTCGTGTAGCTTTGCGCGAAATTCAAAACAAACAAACTTCCAGAAATGGCTGTGGTTACACCCAGATGAAAAATAATAATGTAACTACCATAAATGGCTAAGGTTACACCCAGATGAAAAATAATAATAATGTAACAACCAGAAATGGCTATGGTTACACCCAGATGAAAAAATAATAATAATGTAACAACCACAAATGGCTATGGTTACAACCAGATGAAACATAATAATGTAACAACCAGAAATAGATAAGGTTGCACAGAGATAAAAAATAATAATTTAACTACCAGAAATGGTTAAAACTTGAAATAAGATAAAAAAAATAATGTAATTCTCAGAGATGATTAAAGCTCCACTAAGAAAAACATAAACACATTAACAATGTAATTATCATAAGTGGCCAAGATTACAACGGTATGAAAAAATTAATGTAATTACCAGAAGTGGCTAACATTGCAATGAGATGAAAAATTAATGTAATTACCAGAAGTGACTAACATTGCAATGAGATGAAAAATTAATGTCATTACCAGAAGTGGCTAACATTGCAATGAGATGAAAAATTAATGTAATTACCAGAAGTGGCTAACATTGCAATGAGATGAAAAATTAATGTAATTATCAGAAGTGGCCATGGATATAATGAGATAAAAATTATTGTAATTATCAGAAATGGCCATGGTTCCTTTGAAGTAAAATTACTGAAATTATTACAAGTGGCCAAAATTTAAAAAAACAACAACAGCAATTTGTTTAACAAAAGTGTCAAAAGTTCTAATTAGATAAAACCATTTTTTTGTAATCGCCAGTGTTTTATAAAGTTTCTCAAACATGTGCTTATATTTAACAAAATTCTTATTTTATTTATTTTAAAAAATGATAAACGTAATGGGCAGTAGTATTCCATAAAACACGAGAGTTAAAAGTTTAGAGCGATGTGTTACTTAAAAGCCAGCAAATAGAGTTATGTATACAAGTCTCTGAAGGTTTTTAGTTGAGGCTCATTGATTTGAAAGAGCCAACCAATATTTCAACCATTTCTCTAATAGTTACTAGATTTTCTATTGATTCCATTTATTATGAGATTAGGTAAATCCTAAAATGATATCTTAACTATATTCATGGATTATTAACATTGAAGATTTCAGTTAAATAGATCTTGAAATGTCTATTTTAGTCCATCAGGCAGACAAGCCTTTGCATCTTGTAGAACATAGAACTACAGTTAAAACAATATTGATGTATGTTAAAATACTTTCTAATGCATTTAATTAAAAATAATTACAAACCTACTTATTTACAGCAAGTAAGAGGCACGTAAGGTCTACCATGACAGAAACGTTTATCTTTTCCCTACGTTTAAACAGCCTACGAGTTCTGACTTTCGTAAACATTAGGTTCTATCATCATGTATCATTTTCTTTACGTCAGCCACCACGTGTTATTCATGTTATAGGACGCCTTGGACTTTGGTTACGTGTTCGACACTCGAATATTGCAACAAAGCCTTTACAGGCTCAATCCAATATTTACGGTTGTAAAGGCTATATGTGAAATATCAGTCAGTTTTGGAACAAATTAGACTCGTGAGATTATGATTACCTATTAATCGTAAAGAAACACTTTAATAACAAAATGTTATTCCCATTTAATAAGAATAAACAACAAAACTGTTTAGAAAAAAATGCATAAATCCATTTATGCTAATTCTGATAAGTTAGAATGTTTTGATGACATAACAGCATTATTCCATTTCAAGTCAGGGCATGTTCTGAGGCTAGTAAGTTCAAAGCTACTGGGGATTGTTATTATCAAATAATATTATCACTTACCACAACGACCCTGGAATTTCACTTGAATGTCCATCTTTTCTTGACAGGCAGTTCGTTTAAGCTCACAAACTGTAGGGTAGTCTTTACCATCGCTTCCGCAAACGGGCCTGGAACCTCGGCTGTCGCCGTACGTGGCACATTTTTTCGGGCAGATACACTCGGCTCTCCGACCGTCTATAGATGGGCGGCATTCGGCCCCAAATTTGCATTCCATTTCTTCGCAGGGATCCTTGATATCTTTGGGGAATTTATAACAACACCAAGTTAGAGACACACACAAAACTAGCACTAATACTTCTCTGTGCACTCTTTTCAGAAGGCAGAGCATGTTGTGAATTCCTAAAGATTGACACAGTTTCTAATATAGCTAAAAATTTTAAGAGTACTGTTAAACATTTGGATATTATGACAAGAAATATCGGTCATGTGTCTTTGAACAGAATAACAAATCAATTTTCAACGATAGGTACATGAATTAAGAATTGTTTACAAATTTTGATTTTGTTCAGTAAATTGTCATGTGTCTTTTATGGACATTGAAGAGAATTTGAATCCGCTAGGATTTTCTTTCAATTTGTTTCTTTCAATGTAGAACGCGATGGCCGCTAAGAGGGGAGATAACCAACTGAGCATGCGCCCTATCACCTGCCAAGCAATCAACACGACATTTCACTCGAAAGCAGTAGGCTAATGTCGATCCGAACCATTGGAATATACCCATTAATAAAAATTAAAACTGAAAAAGAAACAATCTGACATAGAACACCCACTTCCCCCTCCAATATTACAAGTAATGTGTGAGAAAGCCTTTCTCCAGTGTGTTAGTCCCAACAAGCTAGGAAGCTTACAGTAATAACTTTTATGTGAAAACACGACATATTCTCACTGTATTTCTACCACTCGAGCTGTGGCTGTCGTAAAGCTGTTGTTAGTCCAGTGTTCCAGTCCATGCGCGTGCATTTCCCGCAGTCAACCGATCAATATCTACTCTATAAGCAAGAGTCAGCTATGCAAGTGTTTGAAAGGTATCGACGGAATTATTTATTTGCTGGAGCTGAAACTAATGGAATTGACTATGTTCATAAGCTACCAGATCACTGAGAATTGTCTTATGTTTTACTCCTCACAGTGCCAAAAAAAAAAAGGTTTTAGTAAAAACCAACAATTTCATTATTCTGTCTAGAAAATTAAAGATCTATAATATATGATGTAACGAACGTATGTGGGGACACGTGGAAGTTTTGTTGGCAGGAATGGTAAAAAAAATAAAGCTTGTTGTCTCTCCTAACAGCTTAAAGCTAGATTAAAACGTAATGGCACTACCTACAGAACACGGGCTTTAAGTCTGTACAACCGATTGTTAAACACGCGTCGCACGTTCACATTTTTCAATCAACATTAAAACATTTCAATTAATCATTTTTTTATTTTTCTATTCACCTTCCAAGCAGTTAAACGATTAACCATTCTTCTACATACTTAACGGATGTCGGAGAATGATGTTGTCTTACCTATAGCTAAAGAACACACGCAGAATACCTTTAAGATGTACGACAACATGGCAATGAGAGAAGTCACTTTATGGAAGGATAATAATCACATTAAGAAACTCTACGGAGTAATAACTCTAACATTAAGACATTTTACGGAAGGATAACACTCACACCAATACATGATAACCCTCACATTAAGAGACTTTACAAGGGTAATGCTAATAATAATTTAAGGAGAATAATTCTCACATTAAGACATTTTACGGAAGGATAACACCCATATGAATACACATTACAGAAGGATAACTCGCACATTAAGACACTTTACGGAAGGATAACACCCATATGAATACACATTACAGAAGGATAACTCGCACATTAAGACACTTTACGGAAGGATAACACCCATATGAATACACATTACAGAAGGATAACTCGCACATTAAGACATTTTCGGAAGAAAACCTAATATTAAAGACTTTCACACTTACATTAAGACCCCTTAAAGAGGTTAACCCTTATACTAGGACTCCTTAAAGAGATTAATGCTTACATTAAGACATCTTACAAAGTATAATGCTTACATTGAGATACCTTACAAAGGTTAACGCTTAAATTAAGACATTTTACGGAAGGATAACACCCATATGAATACACATTACAGAAGGATAACTCGCACATTAAGACACTTTACGGAAGGATAACACCCATATGAATACACATTACAGAAGGATAACTCGCACATTAAGACACTTTACGGAAAGATAACACCCATATGAATACACATTACAGAAGGATAACTCGCACATTAAGACATTTTCGGAAGAAAACCTAATATTAAAGACTTTAACATTTACATTAAAACCCCTTAAAGAGGTTAACCCTTATATTAGGACTCCTTACAAAGTATAATGCTTACATTGAGATACCTTACAAAGGTTAACGCTTAAATTAAGACACCTTACGAAGGATAACGCTTACATTAAGATACACTACAAAGGTTAACGTTTACATTAAGACACCTTACGAAGGATAATGCTTACATTGAGATACCTTACAAAGGTTAACGCTTAAATTAAGACACCTTACGAAGGATAATGCTTACATTAAGATACACTACAAAGGTTAACGCTTACATTAAGATACACTACAAAGGTTAACGTTTACATTAAGACACCTTACGAAGGATAATGCTTACATTGAGAGACCTTACAAAGGTTAACGCTTACATTAAGACACTTTACGAAGGATAACGCTTATATTAAGATACACTACAAAGGTTAACGCTTACATTAAGACACCTTACGGAGGATAACGCTTACATTAAGACATCTTACAAAGGATAACGCTTACATTGAGATACCTTACAAAGGTTAACGCTTACATTGAGACACCTTACGAAGGTTAACGCTTACATTAAGACACCTTACGTAGGATAACGCTTACATTAAAATACCTTACGAAAGTTAACGCTTATATTAAAATATCTTAGAACGGTTAAAGCTTACATTAAGATACCTTACGAAGGGTAATGTTCACCTTATGACATGTTAAGGAGGATAACGTTTCTGATCACATTAAATCATAAATATGTTATAAACAGAAAATAAAACAACAGATTTTTGGAACAGCACAACAAACCTTATATGAGTATTTGTTGCTATTCCCAATTCACCAGAATATTCTACACGTGTTACAGCTAAATTTCTTGGGGCTTGTGTGCGAAATAAAATTTCTTATTTCCTTGTGAGTTTTTGTGAATTTGTTTTACAAAATATAGATTTACTTGTTTTAAATACTACTTTATTTATACTGACGCTTCCGTAAGAAGACGCACCAAAGTCGACTGTCTTTTGTGAAACTGAAGTGATGGCTAGATATTACCTTCATCTTTAATTATTTTTCGTTAACTTGGGAATCAGGTTTTTTGGTGAAGATATTTCTTTCATCACTTTATTTTCCATTATTTTTACAACAGCTATATATTTCGAAGCCACGTGAGACTTATAGCCTTGTACTCCTTAAAGTTCTACGATTTTTATCACTTGAATCAACTTTTGATTCTACAGACAACAGTACGAGTATCGAAGTTAATAAACGTTTCGAATATAATTAATTTAAATTAAAAACGTGTCCCACCATAGCTATAGGATTTACCCTAAGTGATTATTAATTATCGAGGTTCTTAACAATCAGCTTGTTACTGTTTAAAGTGTATACTGAGATGGATTTAAAGTACTTGTGACGGAACCTTCACGATTATAAACCTAGGGTTTTATTTTGCTTAAATACCTAATTGGAAACAACTAGGCTTAGAGAATTTGTTATTTTGAAAGTACTGTTATACAGGACCACGTATTATTTCAGAGAAAATACTCTTAATAGTGCAGATGTCAATGCAACAATACATGTTTTCAGTGTATATTAAGTTAATATAAAACACTCTTAACTATGGCGTCGTCAATGGAACAATGTATGTTTACATAGTATTTTAATATAAAATACTATTAACTAGAACAATGCCAAAGCAAAAATGATCTCTATGCATTGTATTAGAACTTTCCTATCTATCTAATGGAGGGCGATTTCAACAGAACATCATATTGTTAAAAGTGTAAGAATTTACTACTACAAAATTAAGTAATTGTATTTAAGTATGTGAATCGTATGACCATACATATTTCAGACGAGTTTTCTGTATTACTACTTCATGATTTCACACATTCATTCTGTAGGTGACAGTAATGTTAGATTCCCAGTATAAAAGGTATTGGGGTCTCAGTTAATCTGTAGGTGACAGTAAGATCCGACTCACAGTAGGAAAGGTGTTAGGGTCTCAGTTAATCTGTAGGTGACAGTAATGTTAGATACATAGTAGGAAATGTGTTCGGGTCTCAGTTAATCTGGAGGTGAAAGTAATGTTAGATTACCAGTAGAAAAGGTGTTGGATTTTCTGTTAATATGTAGGTGAAAGTAATGTTAGATTACCAGTAGAAAAGGTGTTGGATTTTCTGTTAATATGTAGGTGAAAGTAATGTTAGATTACCAGTAGAAAAGGTGTTGGATTTTCTGTTAATCTGTAGGTGAAAGTGATGTTAGATTACCAGTAGAAAAGGTGTTGGATTTTCTGTTAATCTGTAGGTGAAAGTAATGTTAGATTACCAGTAGAAAAGGTGTTGGATTTTCTGTTAATCTGTAGGTGAAAGTAATGTTAGATTACCAGTAGAAAAGGTGTTGGATTTTCTGTTAATCTGTAGGTGAAAGTAATGTTAGATTACCAGTAGAAAAGGTGTTGGATTTTCTGTTAATCTGTAGGTGACAGTAATGTTAGATTCACAGTAAAAGGTTTTGGGGGTCTCAGTTAATTTGTAGGTGACAGTGATATTAGATTCACAGTAGGAAAGGTGTAGTGATCTCAGTTAATCTGTCGGTGAAGGTAATGTCAGATTCACACTTTTAGTAGCTGAATTCTCTTTGTTTATTCTGTTCCAGAGAAATTGCAATAAAATTCCAAATGTTGTTGATTGAGTAAACCTAACAAAGTAAGTATGACTATCAAATACTTCTCCTGAACCAAAACTTTAGGTGATTTCATACCTACGGCAATTTAGCTTGTCTGTGCACAAAAAAACAATACCTTCAAAATGATGGTAATATTTACAGTGCTAAGACAGTGAATGTGTCTATATAAATTAATTATTGATTTTATTAAAACAGATTTTTGGCATTTTAACTAAGATCACAACACCTTTCCTACTGTGTGTCTGACATTACTGTTACCTACAGATTAACTGAGACCACAACACCTTTCCTACTGTGTGTCTGACATTACTGTTATCTACAGATTAACTGAGACCACAACAGCTTTCCTACTGTGAGTCGGATCTTACTGTCACCTACAGATTAACTGAGACCCCAATACCTTTCATACTGTGTATCTGACATTACTGTCACCTGCAGATTAACCGAGATCACAACACCTTTCATACTGTGAGTCGGATCTTACTGTTATCTACAGATTAACTGAGACCACAACACCTTTCCTACTGTGAGTCGGATCTTACTGTTACCTACAGATTAACTAAGATCACAACACCTTTCCTACTGTGTGTCTGACATTACTGTTACCTACAGATTAACTGAGACCACAACACATTTCCTACTGTGTGTCTGACATTACTGTTACCTACAGATTAACTGAGACCACAACACATTTCCTACTGTGTGTCTGACATTACTGTTATCTACAGATTAACTGAGACCACAACACCTTTCCTACTGTGAGTCGGATCTTACTGTTACCTACAGATTAACTGAGACCACAACACATTTCCTACTGTGAGTCGGATCTTACTGTCACTTACAGATTAATTGAGACCCCAATACCTTTCATACTGTGTATTTGA